TTGACTAACTAGATTTAGCATGCATTAAACTGAATTCACGTATTACAAAAGCTCATAGTATAGCGACGCGCTGAAGAAGTTCACAAGAAGTAGAAATGATGAGTATATTAAACATTTTCTTAATTTACAGATGAAAATTTTGATTAGCGTTAGTTTGACAGATTGACATTTTCACTGGTTTCACATTCCACAGCCTCCATATACATAAAATATGAAGCAAAATACGAATTTATAATTTTATATATTAGTATACTTGATTATATTAATACTAAGTAAAGTTCTCATACAATTAAAAGTATTTGTAGTCCACAGCTGGTCTTTATATTGACGCCGTATGCATAAATAGACCTCATAAGTTGTCCAGCATTAAAGGATTACACGCAAATTTCAAGATAAACTCTGAAACACCCATACTGTTGAGACGTCATTCTCTCATCAATTTCATACTGAATACGTCTACGTTAAATGAGGTATTGCAAATGTGTAGCTTTGAAATAGATCCACAATCTCAGTAATGTCTAGTGAGCATAGTTTTGTGAGTCCTACAGAAATTACATTCTCATATTTAGGAATCTGTAGTCATCAAATATAAGCTGAACATGCCTCAACTCTAAGCAACTATGCACAGTGTTAACAACATAGAGAAACACTTAAAATATTGTAAGATACGCAGACCTGTTGTGTCGATGAGGATAACAATATGTAATATAATGCAACCTAGACATTCAATCGTGATACTGCATCTGTACTGTTTCAGGTAAATGGAAATTTCAGAAGAAATCCATCTCCACTAATGGTGATCAAAACATTGCAGTATTAAGTTTACAGTGTCAGGTGGTATACCGTCTATAGATTAATAATAATAGAGCTAACTAGATTTAATTCTCGTTATCAAGACAAAGCATGTGTATATTATTACTATACACTGAATAACTGCACCAAGTGAATCAGTGAGGAGAATTAAACGAGTTATTGCCTTCTCAAATGCACTGCACTTGCAACAATCACGAGAACCACCTACGTTTGTTAGCCTAGCAGCAGCTAAGCACACAATGGCACAATATTAATAAAGGTATCTTTGATACATTGAAATCACATAGCCCATATTATACTGCGCCAATCAGTGTAAATATATATTAAATCCACTTAGAGATAACCTTTCAACTTACCATTATTCCTTTCCAAGCACACATACGGTGAAAGACACATCTACATCATAACTTCTGTTTCCACGGGGGGTTCTGTTGGCATTTGTAGGTGATTCCCATGTATTGGTAGCATTCTTTTGCCAAATAGTACTGTTCTTCACATGAAAATAACCACATTTAGACGTGGCCTTCACTGAATGATATTATGTCGAAAGCTGCAGATTCTACAAGAAGTTAACTATTTGTGTAGACGACACTACTCTCTGCCTACCCCATCTTTTTCATTATACCGATGTTTTATCTCATTTAGCATGAAAAACTAATCGTTACAACCCATACGCTTATAGTGTATCGCAGTAAGATTACATGACGCAAACACTAACATAACTAGCCAGGAAATGCGAATTCCTATCGATTCAGAAAACATATACCAAAATTTTGTTGAAAATTATCGACAAAAAAATTTACCGAGCGAAATTTAACCAACATGCCGGATAAGTTCAGCCCAAAAGTGCACAAGTGATTATATCACAACCCATACAATTTACCAATTTTCGTGTGTGTGTGGACATACATACATAGGGAGGAGTAATCGCGCTTTGCACCTGAGGGTGGGAGAGCATATCCCAAAATGGTTAGAAAAACAGATGAGTTGTGACAAGCCAATAGATGCAGGTGTCAGACTACCAACTTCGTCTATAGCTAAACATCTAATCGAGATGAACCATAAGATTGATGTTAACTCAGCCTTTAAGGTCATCTATAAAAACGGTCTAGGGTGTTTACTGAAATACGCTGAGGCTATAGCTATTCAGAGACTTAAGCCCCCCTTGTGTATTCAAAAACAGTTTGTTATTACTCTTAACATACCTTGGTAATACTTATTTGATTGGATTACCAAACGTTTGTGTTAATTATTCTTAATTCCTTTTTCTCTCACTTTGTTTAATTTAACCTTTTTATATATATTGACTTGGCAAGTAAATGTGTGATCAGATTGTTCGAAATGTATAGCGCTAATACATCACATTTTTCAGATAGTCGCCGTCTTCTAATAACGCTATATAAATGTATTGGTAATGTTAAGCGATTCAAAGAGTATAAACGGAACAGTAAACACGCAATGATTTGAACTGCTGTCTTTTTTCCACATGGAAACGAGTAAGGCTTCCGTCAAATATGAAACCGTCTGGCGAATCAGCATTATTACACTTAATCGACTCGTTGAGTTAATATACCTTAAAATATAATATCATGAACATTCCGCATTACAGTTTCAAACCTAGTGCCTCTGCCGAATTCATTAACCTATGCTGAATTTGTGGACATATTTCGAAAACACTATCACTCTAACTCAAATATTTACATAATTTCATTTCATGTGGACACAGTTGCTGGTTAACTTCATCGTTCTAAATGTCCTCAAGTTTATTTACCTGGAGTATCAAACTCTGGAATGATCCGGACTCCACGGAGACGAGCGTATTCCAACAAATCAGATACGTCTTCTTCATCATATGTGCACATTTGTGGATGATATGCACCCTGTTCAGATTAAGACGAGAATCGGAATTAATAAACGGCTGAACATTGATTGAATCAAGTCACCTTGTCTGAAAGTTCTGGATAGATGGTTGAGACAAAGGGAAACGATTGGTCATCTGTGATGTGCCAATGAAAGACATTCATTTTAACCATAGCCATGATATCCTGAAAACAGAAAATACTATGCTGAATATCACATCTCCTACTATCATCTTCCGTAGACTTTCAACTGGCATGAAATTTCTTCCGGTATCCAAGAGCATTACACGATGAAAGAATAATGGTTCATCTTTCACAGAACCTTTGAATATCATATTCTAGATGAAATATATTGATGAAGCCAAGTTGTCAACAAAAACCCAACTCACTCCCCCAAACTCATCCTTGTACACCATCTGAAGTACAGTTTCGAGGGCACTTAGTGCACCCCAAACCTCTTGGAACTTATCGAGATCTCTGTATCTTCAATGTTCACGTTATCTGCAAGGTGGTGAATGAAATACTTCTTGTGTTGTCACTCACATGATTCCTTCATTATACCACTCGGCCACAGTTTATCTGCATTTTCGTCACATCCATCCATGATTTCAATTCTCAGTTTGTTTATGATACATTTGTCTTTGCTTTCCTGAGGAAATGGCGGGTGGTGTGATGCAAGACGGAGTCGAAATCTTGTCACTGAGTTTGTGAGTATAAAGCAAGTTGGATAGTTGTGTTCATAGGTGAGTGTGTGAACCAGGTCGCAGGCTGGTGACGTTTTGTTGTAAACTGTTGGTTTTGGGACTATAGCGAGAGTGCGCTGGCCAGCATTATTGAGCAGAAATGCAACCACGAACAACGCAGAATTTGAGATCATGATTACGTTTTGTTTCTCAGCAGTGTATTTCTCACTCGAATCTCAGCAAGTTTTATACTAATTGTGAATTGGACTGTGAACTCATTCGACATCAGATGAGAAAAGTATCATCCAACCAAATCAGCATATCGCCTGATTGTTTTTTGTAGGTTGTGCATTGCTGGAATTTAGATAATTATAATGAATATGACAATGTTTTTTTTGCAATTACAAACTTTACTATGATTGAAAACGAGTCAGTGAGTGTTCTCATATTAAGTGAAAATGTCCAACTTAGGATATGCGTGTTCTGCATATACAAGTGCCAGACATTGACCATCCAACTTCCACTTATTTCAGCGAACTACGAAGCAACTGAAGAAGGTATCTGCCTTCTAGTAAAGGCAAGTCTTGATGCGTATTTCACTAGACCAGAATGTAAATAGGCCAAAAACTGCATGAGTTAAATTATAACTGGACAAACTACGGTGTCACTAGCGGATGCTTTAGGTTCTTGAAGTTATATTTTGATGAATTATTCCGACCATGTTTGGACGCTATTTTACACTTTTCTTCGATCTGTTAACACATACGACATCATACTTCATAGTTCAGCCACAATGATCAGACAAGTTCCTAGAAGCTTCTCTCGACATTATTGTGACGTTCAGTCTTCTAAATAAGTCGTTCTGCAGAACATTTTACTTAAAAAGACAAACCGTTTTGATTCAACCGTTGTTACCAGCATTTGCAAGTTTGATAAAAAACTGATTAAGTCGTAACATTAGTACATTCTATCTAGTGTGAAATGGAAACCACACAACCTGTTATCTACAATTAATGAATCCGTGACATACGTGCAGTTCGGTTTACCCATGCTTTCAGTAATTAATTGGTTGTAGTTTGCCTTGCTTTCGCACGGCCAATTCTTCCCATATTATCGTGTGTGTTAGTGACTGAGTAATTTTATAATTGTGATATTTTAGTTTATTTTCTCATCATGACTTACCACACTGAATGCTGAAATCAACTTTTTGTACAGGTTGTAGTTACCACGAAATCTTCCAGACACACGGAACATTCACAGGGCTCGCGGCTCATGTAAATGAAATTTATCAGATGCGTAGTGTTATTAGGGAGATGAGAGCAAGAAATTTGTCGCATGATTCCATATTTATCTGTTGTAGGACATACTTCTGACTTATTGGGAATAAGACATCGTGTTGAAGAAACTGCCAATATAGTGGTGCTCTTATATCAAAGACGTTGTGATGGCCTTACCGAAAGGCAAACTCGTTCTTGTATTTTGGACGCCATTCAGGAGACATGTGGCTAGGCATGTAGTGTTGATTGACGTCACTTGAGGACCACAGCAGAGTCTGTTGTAATCGCACGTGCATACGGAGAGCGTTCCCAAACAGTGTCTTAAGTGTTGCGGCGAAATTTCCACTTTGAAATTTTCCATCATTGTGTTACACAGTTCTTTTATTGTTTAAGTCCAGAATTAAGTGTAAAGTGTCTAAAATGCCAAACAATTTTTGAGAACTGACTGTAATAATAACCATTTTACTTATTGCACTCTGAGACGATTAATAGTCGGCTGTGACTAGCCTGCATTTAAGAGTCGGAGTTATGTTTCGGTTGGATAACTCTTGAAATTATCAATCTTGTCATTGAAAGTAAGATAGTGCAAAGAGTTTACTTGTTTTCGAATCCTGGATGTCGGAATAACTGCTAAAGCAGGCAGAATTAAATCCGTTTACGTCTAAATTAATTTCTTATTAGATACATAACACAGTGAGACAGTATCATTTGATGGATGACAAGGTTTCGAACACAGTTTATGGTTCATGTTAATATCCGTGTTAATCACATAAGTCGGAAACTTGAACTTCATAGTTTTCTTTATTCTCTTCTACCTGTCGTAGTCGTAGTAGAATTTTCCAGATAAATAGAGACAGCATGACATGTAATTACACCCAACCATAGAATAGGATGAAAGAGACTGATAGTGGAATCTCTATTTATCAAATCAAAATGCAGACACGTGTAGTGGGAATGATTCAATACCTGTCGCATACATCTGCAAAATTCTACTACCTCTACGACGAATAGAAGAGAACAAAGAAAACTATATAACTTAAGTCTCGAAGTCGTTTAATGGTAACTAATACGATTATGAACAGTAAACGGTGTTCGAAACCTTGTCATCTAGAAAGCAGCAAACATTCAAAACGACCATCCTTAGTTGAAAACACTGGTTCTCTTCCAATCATTTAAGGTAAGCAATGTAAGGCCCAGTTAGTACTTGATGAAAAGTTGACTCGATGAGAATTCCAGGTATAGCTGACCTATCAACACAGTGAAACTTCCACATTGTACTCGAAGTACTGTTTGGAATAGAAAAGACACTGCCATATGCTGTTTTAAAGTACTCTTAAGAGAAATGCCAGAGGTGTCTTTGACAGCGAAAATACAACTTCACTGTTTCGCCTAAATGAAATAGCTCTTCAACTAACAACTACTCAGTGTCAATGAGTGACTGAATAGCCCAAGTGGCAGGTGAAGCAAACAGGTCATTCCACAAGACAACGAAGTGATGATTATAAGGCATCAGAGAAGATGTCAGTGAGTTGATTGGCGGTGAGAATCTGATTGCACGGCAAGTGATATCTACAGTGAAATAGAGTATAGGTTAGTATCTCAGTGAGAACTTGATTGAAGTATTTGGATGTCATAGCAATATCGACCATGGAAAAACTGATAGATTAATTGTTGGAATGCTTGAGCAGAGTTTATTGTTTGTAAAGACACAAGGATTAGTTTGTTTAAACCAAATGGAGTAGTTGTGGCTATTTTTAGAACCAGCTCTGTATGAATTCTAGTATATTGGTGGATGCAGTTAGATTTGACTCTCTGACATCTTTAAAAATCTGTTGATTTTGCCACAAAAATCTAACCACTGAGGCCAGTTGTCTCGGTGTTGCCGTTGTATTTCTCAGAGTGTCCGTTTTGGGGATCCGAAAACCAAAAAGACTTAGATAATGGCGCTCGCTATTAGTTAACCCTCTTCTACAAGCGACTGTACGTTAGTTCGACTGGACTGATAGAATTCGGTCCGCGCCAGACACAGGACGACACGCATGACATCAAATAGTGTCCAATCAAAGTATCCAACACAGTTCTATACAATGTCATTAGCCAAAGCCAATAGCTCAGTTGTAACGTTTTTGACCACAACGCTGAGCGCCGCTTGTTGCAGTCTCGGAAGGGACATCAGTTGCACCAAAATTTTAAACATGACCAGTTGACTAGTCCCACCAGACATTAAACCTTGTGTCAAGGCTTCCTGATGACTTTCTGCAGCCATTTAATAACAACAATTTTGACAAATCCCCATAGTATACAGCAAATAATCATTATTAACAAATGTCTGACACGTATTCAAGTGCACTCAGAAATTCATACCAGTATAACGAACTGCTTCCAAAAGATTTAATCAGATGACTTCAATAAAAATCAACTAAGTAGATTAGACGCATTATTCTTTTTGCGAGAGAATTTATCACGGATTCCAAAGGCATTCGTGTAAACGAGTCAGAATGGGAACACCTTGCAGACCTCTGAGCACCCAACAATTGTCGATTAGGTAGTGTTGCGCAAACTCAAGGCTATTTACGAGATGAATTCAGTTTCAATATACGAAATATAAGATTCAATTTGTCCCAGCCTCTCGAAAATTGAGACGCAGCCCAGTGGAAACAAAACCAAGAAGACGAGCAGACGTGAACTGAGTGCACTAAATTCTGTGGTTGAACATATTCAAGGTCAAGTAGAAAGGCTTCAAAGAAGTTGGGGACAGACCCTAGTTCAAGTGCAGTACTCAGGAACTGAAACGAACCAACGAAAAACACCTTCAGAACAGTCATCTTAAAAAACTTCAGAGAGATTAGGCAGCATCACAGGAGAAATTTCCAAAGAGGAACACTGGAATTAAGTGGTACAGAAATGTGAAGGGACATTTTTGATGCTGTAGGTGATATTATGATATTCACTCACCCAGTATGCTCGTGGTTGTCATCTGTGTGACAAAAGTGATTTTTGAGTCAGCAGTTCACGATTCTCAGAGTCCAGTTGCATTCCACCTGCCCTCACGCATTCATGATACGTATTTGTCATGTCTCTCTCTTATATCACTTCTTCACTTCTTTATGGAGTACGATATTTTCTGAAGCCAGCTTCTTCTCCAGTTGTTGCAGTTTGTACTGCTTCATCATTCATTTTACCATCCCTCTCTCCTCCTTTAGCTTCCAGGCATCCGTCGAAAGCTATTTCTTGTCTTTCCTCTTCTTTTTCCCACGCCTTTCCTACAATGTCATTTACAGAGTGTTCCATTGTTCTCCCACAGAGGCGTCCTTGGTGATGCTACAGAGTGTCTGATACTTCACTCTTCTGGGTGCACTGATGTCTTTTGTAGTTCGGTCTTTCGGTTTCTGACTGTTCAACTTGAATTCCAGTGGTCTGTCTTTGACAGTTCTGAAGGTTTTCGACTTGACCAGGAAACGTCCTTGAACAAGATGGTGGTCTGAGCCCACATCTGCTCCTTATCTTGATTTCATGCTAAGCAGCCTACGTCTCCACTTTAGTGAGGCTGGAATGAAGTCTACCTGACTTGTGCTGATACGCCCTGCCTCCAATCACCAAACTACGGGAAGCGCAAATTCTGTAAAGAGTTCTCTGTTCTCATTCATCTCGACGAGGGAGAATCTCTCTATCCAGGACAAATTCTCTTCCTGTAACTTCTGACCCCAGTTCATCGTTCACATTAGCCATTATGATATTTGGAGTATTGCACATTGCTGTTCGAAGCTGTCTGTAGAATTCTTGCTTCTTACAATGTTCTATGTTGTTTGTACGCAATCAGTATTGAAGAATTTCAGCTTTCCCTCATTTTGAGTTGAATCTTGCTGTCATGCTCCTGCATGAAGTTGGTTCCCACTATACGAGAGCTTTGTATGCTGTAGATTAGATAATGATACCTACTCCCTCAGTATGCTCGTGTTTGTCATCTATGTAATCAGAATGGATTATTTACGCAGTAGTTATTGAACAGGGATGAATATGAAGCAAAATAAGTTTGAATATAAACGCAGTCATCCCATTAATTGTTTAACCACTCTAACACGTATCATTACAATCGAACAAAATACATATCATAAAAAATAACCACTCAAAGCTGTTTATTTAACACGAGAATATAACTATGAGTTCAAAGATCTGTGTGTAATTTATTCACTGATTGAACTAAAACTAAACAAATTAGAATGCAAAGTGCGTCTTTCCCCCCTCTCTGTCTCTCTCTCTGAAGTTAGTTTCAAAGTACACACATATTTCAGTAGAAAAACAACTAATACGACTATCTGTTTTCGAGATGAAACACACTTTTTCAGCCTACTTGACATTTGTACATGAATAATCACTTCAATAAATAATAAAGTGGCACAGTTTAATAACTAATTCCACACTATTTTTCGTTATATTTTTTTCACAAAACTGTCGTTTCAAAAGAAGCTATTTCAAATGAGTTGGCTTCAATCTCAATGAAGCTCTGAATTCACTATGCAGGTTTTAAGATGAAAACTAAAGTTACATGACATTCAGCATTCAATAGAAACTTCTCATCTTCACTTGAGAACACTTAGACAAGAACCCTAACCATTGTTCTGTCTGACTGGGGTAATCCTTGGGCATAAGGTTCTAGAGTAGGAGATATCAATGTTGAGAGAGTGGTCGAAAGACGGAATTTTGACGGTTCAAGCCAAAGTTGATGGATAGTCATTCCTTTTATCAGTAGCGAGGCGCAGAAGCGTAGTGGCTGACATAATACTGAAAGGAATTCGTCTCTACAGAATCCTTCAACCGGATCCGGTCGATGCTGGTCATTCTCAACGTCTAAAGCGTATAATTACAATTTTAACATTTGTTCCTTGACTTGTGTTCATATTAATCATGTTTTACAAAAGTTGCTGTTCAACTGGAATTTCTTGTAATTTTTGTTTGGCTTAATTGCTTATTAAATTGTGGCAGAGAACCTGACTGACTGAAATCAAGTTGACTCGATAGGCAGAAATGTGAGAGAGAGAGAGAGATTCCATTTCAATCTTCTTTTAGTGTGAATTAATTGACTCAGTAGGGAAATACAACACTGTTTAATCACTTATCAACTGCCTAATTGATAAATACACTCAGTCGTTTCACTTGAAGGAGACAAATAGGGATAATTAAAACGTCTATTCTCAATACATTTTACATGAAAGGCGCCAGTTTCGAGATATCAGCAATATGGCACATGAAGTAAGGGTTATTTACACGTTCATTATTTCTACAGGAATATATGTTGTATGACATTTTGGCTTACATGTACGATGAAAGCAAAGCGTAATACATGTGGAAATGAAGTTGTGCAATTTTCTTTTCACAAGTACATTTTTTAAGTGCAACAAAGAAGTATGATTTTGCGAGTGTGCATTATATGAACTGACAAGAGAGATGGATGACTGGATTGGTGTCCAATCATAAATTTCCTAATCAGGAGGCCTGTTTCCACTAATACTATTATTGATAGATACATGAATGACCCTATATACCTCACTTGAATACCACTGATTGATTAAACGTGCAAGCCTTTATTCGTGTTAATTGTTCAGCAGTGAGTCAAACCGATAAAGGTTTAATACACCTCTTGGATAATGAGGATTTCATCCAGTGGGGAGTTTCTCGACTTTCAACATTTTGAAGTCAATTCGATTGAAGCAAACAACATTCAATGAAGTGTTTGTCTATAGTGAATTTGTATTAAATGTTTTCAAAATATCAAGTATTGATTTTGTAGGGAAATTTCTATGATTGATTTGACGATTTTATGATGAGCGGACATTAGTTAGAGAACCACTGGAAAACCTGCAGTGAGTACTGGACAGCTGTTTCGTCAGCCTAATTTGCCACTCTTCATCAGTAAGCACCGATTGATAGGGTTCGAATCAAGGACGTTCTGGCTACAAGGCTAGCGAGTTCGTAGACCATGAAGGAGCTACTGGAACCCGATCCAATGACCAGCAAGCCCATGACTTCTAACTTCTGCAAACTCATGACATATCGCGACCACTTCACAATGTCTTGTTTGATGAGTACTATCTCACCTTCAACGTGCTGCACCCTACCGGTCACGGATTCCCACAAGAACCTCAGGTCAACTGCCTGAATACGGCCATTCACTAGTTAGCATCAGATTAATTTTCGAGTACTAGTTTTATGGGGAATTTTGTTTCATTGGTTCGAGGATTTCATCATGATGTCATCACATTCTGGGTTCGAACCTCAGCGGTGGGTGCGTTGTGATAAAGAGTCCCAAACTAGGACTGAACAGCTGTCCAGCACTCCTAGGATTTCATATTACTTTGTGTTTGTGTTCTCCACCTTGGAGTTATTCAAACAATGGAAATTATTGCTTTCCTAGGAAATAAAACCTCAAAGTTGCTTTGTCTCATGAGAAATGAACATGTTTTCCTAACGGCAGTGCCAGGTGATATCATACTCACTGGAATTATATACTTTGGTACCAACATTGTCCAAACGCATTTGTGTGTGAGAGGTTTACAATTTTATTTCAAATAATCAAAGATACGAAGTCAGTTCCATATACTCAGCTACTGTATGGTGGAAATGCCTGCAAATTTAGTCATAGATGCTCATTGCAGTGTATCATTGAGGCTTTTAGGGTAGAGAAAAGTCTTCTGTTTGTCGCTGTTAACAGTCCGTTGCTTGGTGACAGATATCCATATTATATGTGTGGTTGTTGACATGTCTGCTATATTTTGCTATGCATATTTGGATCGACACTCCATTATAATTAGCCATTCATGTTAAGACTGTCTATTGGTTTTTTACACACTTGTCTGAATGGTCATATATATTTCGCTCTCACAATTTGACTTACTCTACTTACTTTGGTGTGATACCACTTATTGCTTCTCCTTGTGTTTGGAAAATAGAAGTATCATCGCAAACCTAGTGGTCTTCTGATTTCCGCTTTCTTGCGTCAGGACAATTAAATTCTCGACCAGTACATAGCAATAATTTGGCGACGAGTACATAACAGTCGCCAAAATGTTGAGTTCATTTAACATATTTCAGTATAACGCTAATTAAATCGACTAATCGCATCAATTCATGAAACAGCTTTCAGGTGGTAATAAGTGTGTATCATCATGAATGAAGCATCGTTCACCTTAAATTTCAGAGTTTTCAGTGGTTGCCACTCAAGAGAACACCAACCAAATTTGTTACAACTGAGTGACTACCACGCAGCTGTTCGCCACTTGTGAATAAATAAAAGTTTCAGTCATATTGACGAATTTGTAACCGTGTGAGACAATTGTGCTCTATTCTACTGATTGTTTGGCATGATTACTTGCATACCGCTGATATTCACCAGTAATGTTCGGTAGTTAGGTGGACCAAAGTGATGTATGCACCTGTCAGTCATTTCTCTCGTTTGAGGCTAAGTTTATCTGCGGTTTACCAGGATTCACATAAGCTCATGCAGTCAAATCAACTGTAACCATCCGTATCCTGGCTGAGGACTTTGTCAAACGAGTATTAAAATTTGCGAATTAATTTGTGAATCGCTACTTACACATTTTTATGTTGTCGACTTCGTTACACTAAGGAGCTGTTATTTCAGACTTTCAATACTTTCATGATCTTTTTTATTATGTCTATTGACCAAGGTTCACGTTACGCTCTTCGGATTCGTTGTTTTACTTACACAACCCGTTTCATTCCACTTTATTAAATTCTTCATTACTTGACAACCGTCCATAAATAGCACATATGAATTCACAACATACCAATGATACGACTTTTCACTTATCATTCTTATCTGTCACAGTTTGAACTTAAGTATGACGTATTTTATCTGCGGGCTTATTCCTCAATGGTGCTCACTTTGTATGTCACACTCCTGACTATACTCGCCCCTTGAAACAGATACCAGCTTCTTGATTATATATACACACGCATATCACTGAGCAAATCAGTTTCACGTTGTCTCATGGTCGGTGGCACAGTGGTTAGGACTCCCGCCGACCATGCACATGGTCCGGGGTTTGAGCCCTCGCCGATGCACACCTGAATCTCTATGGTCCGCCTGCGAATTCTGGGCTACCGATATCCACGCTGAAAATTCCGTACATGTACCGAAAATACGGTGTGGAATCAAGCTGTAATCAAAAATTAAAAATTAAAATCCCTTTTCATCATACACATGTCAAATGATAGTCAAAACGCACTGACTTTTATATCACCTCACATTTCTATCATGATACAATTTCTGATATAATTCTCAATCGTCTTCAATGAAAACTATTTACCAATAGGAATGGATTTGTAACCGAAGAGGCTGAGACATTTACTGAAACTGTAATTGTTCGCTCCTATTATTCTTGTTTTGAAAATATCATGAGGATGTTCAAGTTACTAGGATATCCTGTTGTCCAACGATTTAGATGAAGCAGGACTACCGATAGATTCGGTTTCCTTAGAATGAACTGGTTTATGTGCACTGTAGTCTATATTTACACACTAATGAGTCGGTCGTATATTAATTAATCAGTTCCACCAAAACAGCTCAAGTCGTATTTTCACACATCACTGGTGATGTCCATCAGCGCACTACGATAGCATTAGTTTCATCGAGTAACAGATAAATCCTTTCGCGACATCAGAGTATCTCATGAATTAATGTAATTACACCGTGGAACAGTATATCTTCAGTTATGCTACTCACTGGAAAGCCATCTTGTGCAAAACACTTTACACATAATCTCTGTCGTCATAATTTTACCAGTCTAAATAGAGGTTAGGATATGTTAGCAATGTAATAAAAAATGAATTCGCCTCCTAATTTCTTGATCAATGCTGCACTGGGAAGAAACTATTCTACCTCTTCAATCAAGGTAGCATCGAATTCCTTTGAAACTAACAGCGTATGTATTATCGTAAGGATGAAGTGAGTTGCATGTATGAATAGGAAATTTGAAATCTGAATTAACAAAAACCATGTCAAAATGTCCCATAAAAATTACATTCATAAAAGCAGGATAAACACTATCTGGAAAGTAAACAACAAGTCTGACCATCAGTGGCAATAATGTCTGTTCAATCTCTGAGTGAAATGACGCAATGACTTTGACACTGTACAATTTACAACATCTTCATTTCCACTCATATCATTGTCGTGTGTGTAGATGTCGCCAAATTTAGATGTTTAGTGACAATGAAATAGACATTAGTGTGCATCGATTCAACTTATCCGATATCGAGGCTCAAACCTACTTCATTAAATCAAGATTCTGCAGTGAGTGTTTGATTTCGTTAGGGCACTTGTTCAGTATCTCTGAATTCGTAATGAAACCATTCATCTCATAAAATGGAAAAACAAGGGAAAATGTCACCAACTACATCTACAAATCATGATTACTTCCCAATTCCTTAATGACAGATTCCTGAGTTCAATGTGAATGTCCCATTGACTTCCATTATATATATATATATATATATCTTTTGTTGTTAATATACCGACACATAGTATTAAGACAAACGACTCAAAAAATATCGCATATGCTGCAACCATTGTGAATCCGTGTTTATTTCAAAACTGTTGCATATCACAGGCGAAGTGAAACTTGGAACACACACAGATAAATTTCGTCAACAGATAAATTTCTTTCAGACTACGCGAGAATTAACTCACCTCCAAACTCTTTGATATTCTGTGAGTAATATCTCATCCAATCAAGATCACATCGTATGTCATTAAGATTCCATGTACCAGAAACTATAACCTTATATCCATCTAGAGTGGCATTGTAGACGTGTTTTTCCCAATCTACAGTTTTGCATACATGAATGATTGTTTTACGGTCAATCCGTTAAACCGAATGAAACATTTGTAAAGTTAGTGGTATCAATGTCAAACTGAAATAACTATTTGGATTAATTTGAAAGGTATTATCGGTTGATTATTAGTCTGGAAATAGAGGATGCCAAATTATCGAACCGATGAAATATTTCCTGTACAGGTTGACTGTGTAAAGTCATTTTACCTGAGATATCGAATTTTCTGATGCCTCTTTTCAGAGGCTTGTCAGGCTTTTGACATGGACAAAATATGCAACACGTTAGATTTATTCAACCGAAGAATAAAATTAAATCACCTCCGTTGTTTAATTATCTAGTAAACTCTTCAAGATGAGTAGCGATCAAAACTTGAAATATTTATATATTTATTTGATTCTGTTCATGTTGGTTAAAAGTGAAAATGTGGATAGAAGTTTCTTTCTGTTCAAGACTCATCAACTAGTTGTATGATCACTCTACTGAACGACAGGTTAACCACTGGAACTGGGAACGAAGACATAAGCCAAGATGTCTGTCTGAGATCCAGTTTGTCAACAGACACTCACCACAGAGATATAGAGAATAAAAGTTTTCACTAACGAAGTGAACTCCTATGTCCTGTCCAATTTGAATGATCACATGAAATAACTCAAATGATCAAATACAACCAGATGACTTCACGATCGAGCACAGGAATTATTCCGTTGTATTTAGGTCGACTGGGTTGTGAGAGTGAAAAAGCTTAGCCAGATTCAGCATGACAGACTCCACTGGACAAGTAATAGGAGAAAATATTCTCCTATCACCATACATGAAGTGAGACCCGAACGCGGCATTCAGCGACCTAAATCTGTTTGCCTGATGGTGATGAGATAGATGGATTATTTTATCTCTAGACACCAAATCAGCCAACATGGATCAAATGTTTCAGACGTGAACTAAAATAACTTGAAAATAAGTGCTTGCAGTGATCCATCATTGAAGTATTCGTCAAAATATATCAGTGAATCACAACAATCCTCCTTATCATCAAATAAAAAGGACTGATAATGTTGTGTCAGTGGGATAATTACCACACAGAGAATCCTCACTGAATATCGAGTTCAGTGATTTAATTACAAAAATATTTTCCAAAACTTACTCCACATTCGTCAGCAAAACTCTCCTGGTAGACAATAGGAGTGATCGGTAAGTCAGGGTCTGTCGTCGTCATGTTCTTAACAATCTCAATAAGTTTCACCAAGTAATATCTATGTAATTGATAATAATCCTCACCGAATTTCTCGTCTTTCATGAATTTAGTTATTTCTGGATTCGAACTCCTAAAATAAACAGGAAGACATTAAATTTACTTGTTCATTGTTCTTGTCGATGATTCAATTTAAACTGCCCACAAATAAGGAGCAGCAATATCAAGTCTTCCGTTAATCTACATGAATTAATTGTTAAAATACAATTTGATCAGAGATTGTTGATGAGGATTTTCTATTCCACTCAATGGAAGGAAGAGAATGAGATAGATGGGTGCTGTAATACTCAGTGTTCTACTGAAGAATAAGAAGAAGAAATAGTCGTGCCTTATGGAAAGTTGTCTGCATTCGTTTATATTAACCAATCAAAAGAGGAATAATGTGAGATTATATTTCACTGGCAATTTGTGGCCACCATGTTCGATTGCAATAAATGTCTTGCAATCCACTGGTAGTATCAGATAAATGGACACTTTAATACAAAATTACAATCTGGTAAGTCAGTCACTCAGGTTAAGAAACTGTCGAAGGTTGTTGTACACTGTTTCCTGTACACACAATTTTGATGCAATTCATCAGACATCTTCAGCACAAACTTCAAAATGACGTCATGACAACACTATAAGTGGTGTGTTTTCTCCATATTACTAATCAATCTACAAACCGGCAACCCAAATGCGGTGGGGTCTCATTAAAACAATCTATTAGTAATAATAATAATAATAATTTGCTCTATTCCAGAAACAGTACTAGTGGTACAGTGTGGAATTTTCCACACTTATCTACAATACTGCATCTAATTATTTTTCAAATATTTGAAAAGAGTATTTCAAAAAATAAATATAAAAAACAACAACAAAAACACAAAATAGTAAAAAAAATGCGAAAAAATACCAAGAAGTGGAATGGAAAATAAACAACATACTAAATAATATCTCAGTACTGGCTAATTGAAGCTATGATATGTGTATGCGTAGTGAACAGCAACAGCTATAATCCTACGAGAAGTTAAGAAATCATATTAAGAATGTTTATCGCATCATTAGTTAATTTGATTAAACTGCACTAAACAATCATAAAATAAACATTTCAGGCTTTTTTATAGTCAGCACTAATGCAGTGTTTGTTGTGGTAGTGTGGATAATCATGCATAATACAAAGTTTTAGGATGGTGATAACGGCGTTCACAAACACGATTGTCAGTTTCAATATTGCCGAACAAAAAAACAATCACAAAAACTAATATCACATGAAGGCTGTTGGCAGGATAATTTTGTAATACTCATAGTGCTAATATAGTCGAGACCAGTAGATAAACAAAAGAAGGAATAGAATACAGAATAAAAACGTAAGCCAATGATAATAATTTTAGGTAGCTAAGTATGTTTAAGAAGGGTGTTCACCATAGAATACAAATAGGAGAGAATATGGGAGAAATAAAAGGGCCAAAATTATTTTATTAACAACAAAGCAGGTCATAGGTTTCGCGCTTAACATTGTCTCTGTCACTTAGAACGCGGGCTAGCCAAATATGGTATCGTTGGGTTCCTATGCTTGGTTGTACGAGCATATATTATTTTATACTGATTTCTGGTTCTGCCTGACGAGATGAAAGGAGAGAGATGGGAATAGATGGGGTGTTGAGGGGGCGGAGAGTATGGTTTCAGACCATTTTTCGCATGTATTCAGATGCTTATTTATTAATGTAGTGACGAGCTGACTGAGTTTTACACCACTACACCTACTAACTACCTTCAACATCCTTCTCAGGATGGTATAGTCCTTTTCAGTAACCCAGGAAAGACTAATGGTGAGCAGTAAAGTAGAATAGGTAAGGTACGAGAGTTGACAAATTGTGAAAGCAGAGGTTGAGTGACTCCAGTTAGTCTGACTTTCTTAATGTAGTAGGTTAGACGAAACACTTTCTTGGAAATCATTTGGATATGGGATGACCATGTAAGGTCGGAAGATAGGACTAATCCAAGGTATTTTGCATTAGACTTAGTTTCAATTTTAGTCCCCTCAATACTACAGGCTTCATGAGTGCTTACTAGTGTTCGTAGACCTCGTTTGTGCCTAAAGGAGAAGTCAATAGTCTGGCATTTTGAGGGATTCTACATGAGGGCATTTAGTTTAGACCACTGACTGATGTCCGACAGGAAGCTATTTAGTTTGAAACAGTGTGATTGAGAAACTACCTTTCATGCCATTTCCTAGGGCTTAAATTGACAGCTGTTTCCCTGTTACTGCTAAGGAATATTTAATGAAATTCAGTTGAGTTGATGAGCAAGTTGTTTAAATGAGAGAAGTTCAGCGTCTGTTAATCTGAGACAGAGAAAAGTATGTCTTCAGTTTGAAATGAAAATATGGCGATGCCATAAAATTGATTCTTTATTTACTCTTGCATAAAGTCAACAGAACTCACCAACACTCATAGTCAACCTCATTCCCGCCAAGATGAATATAATTGTCATGAAATCTGCGGACTATTTCTTCAAAGAATTTCTTCAGAAACCCATACAACGATGGATTGACTGGATTCAATGGACCCAACTTTCCATTTGGTTGAGCGCCGTTGTAACATTTTGTTAGTAACTCTGGATATCCTTTCCCCCATGATAATGTATGCGCTACAAAAGATGATTGTAACAGTCAATGGAAGTCAGCCTTACAATATTTCGACAAATAATGTCGTTGAGATACAAAACACCATGATGAATGGATTCACCATCTGAAATTGATTCGTATTCTGCTGTCTGAAGTTATACACTGTTCAACTCACATAACACATGTATTTCACACTAATTACGTTGGTCAATTCAAAGATTAACTGCAAGACGTTGAATGCAAACACTGGACCAATGATATCCACGTTGTTCACTGGTTGGATAATTCTCCATATTGACTGGAGTATATTAGACGACTAAACAGAATCACAAGCTGTGGATTTTTCACAACCGCCTTGGGTTTATAATTTCTAGCAAAATCAAACCTGATACGTAACTCAGAAGAGGTAAACGCCTCTCATCATCTCCTTGCTTCAACATACCTTCAAACACAAAATCATGTATAAACTGCTCTACATTCATCATGACTATGTTGAATTGATTGAAAGACAGTTTACTTTCAGGATTATTCCAAGAGCATGTTCATACTCATTCAAATATTTTCACTTGAACTCACATGATGGATAATTAGATCATATTAAATATATATATTTAAAATTATCTACCTGGAGTATCAAACTCTGGAATGACACGAATCCCACGTCGACAGGCATAGTCCAACAGATTTTTCACATCTCCGTCACTATATATGCACTTCAGCTGATGATATGCACCCTGTTGTAGTTTAAACAAATATTTTGATCAATAAATGACCTGATTTTCATCTTACTCACCTTCTCTGTCAGTTTTGGACAAGTGGTTGAGACAAAGGGAAATGATTGATCATCTGTAATATGCCAATGAAACACATTCATCTTCACCATGGCCATGCTATCCTGGTAAGAGAAAGCATCATACTGACTATTGCAATTCCTACTAATAATTTCTCCAGGACATTAAGTGGCAAGAAGTACCTTGCAGTATCTATCAACATTCCACGGTGTCCGAATTGTGGTTCGTCCATCAAAGATCCTGTAATTATAACATTCTATATGATGAAATAAATTAATGAAATCAAGTCATAAGTAAAAATGAAACTCACCCCTGAATATTCACCCTGGTACACCAATTGAAGTATGGTCTCGAGGGCGTGTAACGCACCCCAAACCTCGAAGGACTCTATGCTAATTTGAGATTCTTCTATCCACACTTGATCTGCAAAATGGTGATTGAATTAGTCGTTTTGGTACAACTCACATGATTCATCAATTGATGCATTGGGCCATAGCTGACCTAGCCCTTCGTCACATCCACTTCCAATTTTGATATTCAAGTTGTCTATATTGCATGTGACTACAACTTTTTCAGAAATTGGCAGATGTTTTAATTCCAGACGCTTTTCAAATCTCGTCACAGCTTCTGACAATATATCGCATGAGGAATAGTTATTTTTAATGTCAAGTGGACGATTTAAATAACAGACTGTCGAAGGTTTTATGTAACTTGACGGCTTCGGGACTATCGCTGTTGTATAAAATGAGTTATTGATCAGCAATGCAATCAAGAACAACATAAAATTAAAAATCATGATTTCTCTGTTCTTGTCAATATCTTTGTTACCTCAATCTCTGTAGATTTTATGCTAACACTGAAATGGACTTTGATCTCATCTGATGTTTATGGTTACTATATTAAATCGAAGAGTACAAGTACTTCAATGAAATATTCATCTGATTGTATGGTGATTCATTCATTAGTCTAACAAACTGTACTGGTTGATGTGAATGGTGTACAACTACTTATATCAACCAATCAGTAGTATATAATTTTTGTATGGAGGGAATACAACTGCCAACAGTTGACACACACACACACACACATGGGTTAACGTGTTTTATGTCAAGCCATGACAATAAAACTGATATGTGTCCATATATATATATATATATATATATATATATATGGTGATCTCTCTTTCTGTTTGCTCGCTTAGTCTGTGACCATTTCACTTTGATGAACCTGTCTCCTTTAACAATGTATATTCCCCTTATATTATATATAATATGAGTGTTTGTTGACAGTCCGTTGCTTGATGACATATATCCATATATGGTGGTTGTTGACATGTCTGCTATATTTTGCTATGTGTATTTGGATCGACACTCCATTATAATTAGCCATTCATGTTAAGACTGTCTAGTGATTTGTTCACACACTTGTCTGAATGGTCATATATATTTCGCTCTCACAATTTGACTTACTCTACTTACTTTGGTGTGATACCACTTATTGCTTCTCCTTGTGTTTGGAAAATAGAAGTGTCATCGCAAACCTAGTGGTCTTCTGATTTCCGCCTTCTTGTGTCAGGACTATTAAATTCTCGACCAGTACATAGCAATAATTTGGCGACGAGTACATAACAAAAACTTCTGCTGATTGCTGGGCAGTGGTAGTCAGAAGTTTTAGATCCTTATAAGGAAACACAGTAACTTAACTAGAATCACCTGCCAAGTGTTCAAAAATTCATATGAATTTCTGGTGAAATCGAAACTCGAAACCTGCCTCCAGGTAGCCAGTCCTTGTCTCAAGACAGCCTCACAGATAACAGAAGGGCACCAAAAGAATTCCAGGCGTACAAATTTTGGTTTGACCATTTTATCATACTAGAAAAACACAACAGTTCGAATCGCTTCTCTCTATCATACCATAGGCAGACAAGAGGTAGCACTAAAGTGTCAGTATATCTGAAAAATGACTGTGAACCCGATCTGTCTTTTCTTTTCCTCCTCACGCAATATGTGCATTCCAAGAGAAATAGGAGCAGGGTACAGGAAACGAGGAGGAACTATATTCCTGTGGGTACCATTTCTTTCATCGATTCATAAAATCTAGAAACCGAGTACTAGAATAGGTGGTATCTGTGCCCTCAGTTGACGCGTTCAAGAAGAGATTAAGCAGTCACAGATATCTACTAGAAAAGCCTTCCATCGTCAATCATAAATCAGAATGATTATGGTAATTTTGGTATTGGGTTATGGACAGTTTGAAGAAATATGGGAGTTATCATCAATTAAAGAGAAAAGGCGTTAAATCTCCAGTTAAAGCTCTGAGTTGGTCCCGCTTTCTCAGAATTAGCGCACACGGGCATTGATTACTGAAGCCCATCTGGCTGGTTGTTTGCTTGCGTTGCAATACTCTTAGTCAAATATATCAGATATAATAATGAGGTTTTATAACTTACAGTGAGTGAGGTGTACTTTGACAACCAATTTTCAGTCAAATTCTCGCCGAAACAGTAAAAAATGGTCACACTCAATGTTGGTATCTCAATTCAGGGATAAGAATGGGAGACGAATAATTTTCTCTAAGAAAATCTGTCACCAAATTAAGTGTTACTTGACACAATAAGGTGTTCAATGCAGAACCATAAAATCACTAGGACATCTGTTTTCAGGAGTTTCCAGCGTACAGGTAACTGCTTGTTCCATCTTTAGTGATAAATCTGATGCCTAGGTGAGGAGATCTTTCTATTTCCTTCAGTCAATCTATACATACAAGAAGTTATCGCCAGTGTTTATTGAGCTTACGATCTGCCAATGATCAGCATATATGTTGACAGCCATGACAGTGAGCAAACTAACTGGTATCTCTGACATGAAATAGCTGATGAATTTCCGAGTACTAACTGTAAGCGCTAGTCTTTTGGTACCCCTAGTAAGCCTTGCGTTTAGTGAGGTCTCGGGTGGTTGTGAAACACCCTAAGTGAGAGGTTTTTGGTCCTTGAGGATATTTTAATCAGACGGCCCTGGTTCACTAGATAGTCTTTCCACTTGATTGAGGAAGAGAAAAGGGGTATAAGGTGAGCAGTAGCAACAGGTAAAAATGAAGAATGGAACGAGTGAGCAGATACCAAATTTGGAAAAATGAAAAAAATAGAGGAATAACTAGAGGCTAAAGGACTGACTGATAAATTAGGCACAAATGAATGACTAAATAACAAGGTAAGGTGGAACTGTTAATGAAAGCATGGATAGGAAAATTACTTGTAAGTGGGACAATCGCGTCACTAGGCGATTGGTAAGTCTCCAAAAAATAGATACCAGCTATATCAGTACGCAACCTTGGACACGAGCACTCACAATTTCAGTGGACTGATTACATGGAAGAAATTTAGTCAAATATTATTCGATTGACTGTGATTTCTCAACTGATTTTAGACCACTTAATTGTTCTGAAGATTTGGCTCCCTAACTCCTTATTGTAGTTGGCAAAGTAGTCCATTTCAGTTGGAGGACATCGCGCCCATCCCATAGCAATGCCTGTATTATCTCCTTATCCAAGAAATGATCTGTAAGAAATAATACACATAAAAGAAGCCTTGAAACTTAATAATTATCCGGATAAATTAGTCAGAAAATATGTAAGAAAAATCAAATAAATAATGATAGTAGCGATAGTGATAATAATAATAACAATAATAATAATGATAACAGTAGTAGAGATAATAATAATAATAATATAATAACGACACCAACAATAAGGAATCTAAATCACCAACAGTAAATCCATACAAAGAAGGAACCTCTGAAGGCTTACGCAGAATTCTTAACAAGGCAGGAATAAAAGTGGCTGGCATTCAAACCAACCATAAACTCAATTAGAAACAAGCCTTGTCGGATCAATCCTGTGGAGCCTTTAAAACAAAACAATTCAGTTTATCTAATACCCTGCCTCCGATGATTATCACGTCGAATACATAGGTCAAATTAGCAGAATAGAGGCGGTCAGACTAGCTGAACATATAAACCTAGCAAAATCTAGATTGGTTGACCCGAATAAGATAACAAGAAATCTAGAGAATAGTTCAGCTATAGCAGTTACCACATGCAGTTACACACAACCATACAATAGGATGGAATGGGATAAGATGACAGTTTTAAAATCTAATGTCACAGGGTATAGGGAGAGACTAGTGCGCTACATTTTGCTTAGATACTTAAAACTCTCATTTCTTTGTCGTTTCTCACCCCGAAGTTCTGGAAATTATTGCAAGCCGTTTACTTTCGAACAGTAAACCTGTGGATATAATATCATTGACAACTAATACCTATAACAAACTGTTTGACATTTTGTGACCTCTTAACACTAACTCATATCTGTAATTGTATATATTGTTGGATTTACATGTTCAAGTTGGCCCAGGTCAGTGAGTTTATGGTTTTGGTACCATTTTAGTTAACTGTGCTTAACTGCATTGCATGTTGTACTGGGGATATGTGAAAGCAGATGGAACGGAAATGGACTCACCAAATTGTCAACGGGTGAGTCAGTGATCTACTCCGGTCACCAAGAAGATAACCACACGCACACCGAGGGTGTGGCTATCATGATTTCACCAACGGCAACGAAGGCCTTGATGCAATGGGAAGCAAACTCACCCGGGTTAATGACGGCCAGATACAACTCCAGAGGAAGGAAAGTGTCAATTATACAATGTTATGCGCCCACAAACAACGCAGACCTCGAAAAGAAAGAAGAATTCTACAGAGAACTGCAGGCAACAATGGACAATACTCCAGCTAGTGACATTAAAATACTAATGGGAGACACGAACGCCAAACTGGGACCAGACAACACTGGAAGAGAACTCATCATGGGTAGAGAAGCATTTGGAGAAATGAATGAAAATGGAGAACTCTTCGCCGACTTCTGAGCCTTCAACGAACTAGTGATTGGTGGCAGTGTATACAAACACAAAGATATCCACAAGGCTACATGGGTGTCACCAGACGGGCAAACCAAAAACCAAATTGACTTCATCTCAATGCTGCTCAAGGAAGTGGAGGCGCAGCCTACTGGACACAAAAGCAAGAAGAGGAGCAGACGTTGGCTCAGACCACTATCTCGTACAAGGGACAATCCAAATCAAATTAAAAGCTTTCAGGGAATCAGGAGCTGCAGATAGACCACAAGCCAAGTTCAACACTCAGAAAATGAAGGATCACGCTACAAAGGACATCTTCATTGCAAACATAAGGGACAAAGCCGAGACACAAATCAACACCAGCGAAAAGGTCAGCGTCGAAAAGCACTGGGACAACTTGAAAACGGTGTGGAGTCAAACCTGCATGGAAGTTCTAGGCAGAAAGAAGAGACACGACAAACAGTGGCTCACTACGGACACTTGGAAACTAATAGAAGAGAGAAGGACGGTGAAAGAAAAGATTATCCAGTGCACTGACGAGCAACAAAAACAGGAGCTGAATGCAAACTACAATACACTGAACAAAAGAGTGAAGAAGAGTGCCAGGGAAGACAAAAGAAAACATTATGAAGCCATGGAAAGTAAATTAGAACAAGCTGCAGTGCAAGCAAAGGAGACCTCGCCACACTCTACCAAACAACTAGGCACCTTTCGGGCAAAAGTTCGACACAGATTAAGCCAGTAAAGGATGACAACGGAAAGTCAATCACCAAAGAGCTGGAGCAAAGAAAACACTGGGCTGAACACTTCAAAAGACTTTTAAATCGACCTCTACCTACAACGCGCCCAACAATACCAACAACGGAAGCAGAACTACCAGTGAACGTCGACCGCTCGACGAAATCAGAAGTCCTGAATGCAATCAAGATGCTAAAAGCCGGAAAAGCAGTAGGACCAGATGTGATCCCAGCAAAAGCATTGAAAATGGACCCAGAGACAACAGCGGAATTGATGACACCATTGCTGAAGAAGGTGTTGAAAGAGGGCAAAGTACCCAAGGATTGGAAGAAAAGATACTTATTCAAACTACCAAAGAAAGGAGACTTAAGTCAATGCAAAAACTGGCGCAGAATTATGCTCCTGTCCACCCCAAGCAAAATGCTAAGCCGCATCATCCTGGAGAGAATCAAACACGCCAACCTGGTTGAAAAACTTCGACCGTAACAAGCTGGATTCAGGGGAAACAAGTCATGTATTGATCATATCGCCAAACTACGGATCATCATTGAACAAAGCTTGGAATAGCAGTCACCTCTCTATCTCAATTTCATCGACTTTGAAAAGGCCTTCGACAGTGTCGATCGAGAGGTGGTTTGGCAACTACTTCGCTACTACGGGGTGCAATCGACAATTATACATCTCATCGAACAAATATACGACAATGCTGCATGCCAAGTAGTCCACAACGGGAAACTTACGGAAGCCTTCGAAGTGAGGACGGGAGTGAGACAAGGCTATCTACTATCCTAATTCCAGTAGATTGGATAATGTGACAGACAGTGAGCAATGAGGAAACAGGCAAAAAATGGACCTGCACAACAGACTTGGAGGATCTGGATTTCGCCGATGATATATGTCTGATTTCCCACAAACTGGAAGATATGCAAGTGAAAAGAAACAAGTTGGCAGAAGAAGCATCAAAGATAGGACTTTAAGTGAACATAGATAAAACAGAGGTGATGAAGATTCCTAGCCAACATCAACAGCAACAACGACAACAGACAACAATCAGCATAAATGGGAGGAACCTGAAAGAAACAACCTCCTTTACCTAACTACCTACCTGGGAAGCATCGTTTCAACTACAGGCCGACGGAACTGACGAGGATATCAAAGCCAGAATCGAAAAAGCAAGACAAGCTTTCATTACTCTTAAGTATGTGTGGAGGTCAACAGCACTCACCATGACAATGGAAATGAGATCCGGATTTTCAACTCCAATGTGAAGTCAGTGCTACTATACGGATCAGAGACTTGGCGAGTCATAAAGAGCATCTCAAACAAACTTCAGACCTTCATTAACAGCTATCTTCGCTCAATACTACTCAAGATCAGATGGCTGGCCAGAAAAGATCAGCAACAGGGATCTCTGGCAATGAGCGAACCAATCAGGAACCGATTGTGAAACAAATAGGCAGGAAGAAATGGAGATGGATTGGCCATACTCTGAGGAAACCATCAAGTGACATCACTAGACAAGCCATCGTTCGAGTGGAACTCGAAACGGAAGCGGCGAGTTGGTAGTCAGTACAAGGAAGAATTGGAGGAGGTCATGCGAGGAGGAGATGGAAGCATGTGGACAGACCTGAAGCGGGGTGAAAAAGTCGTCAGAAAACAGAAGGCAATGGAGGTGCGCAGCTGAAGCCCTATGTTCCTCTAGGAACTAAAGGATACAAAAATAATTATTATTATTATCACTTCTACTATTCTTAACTACTCCTCAGTCATGTTGTTTATTTTAACTGGCCTTTCGATTTTCATATATAAACTGATTTGACAAGTAAACAGGTAGTTAGATTGTTCAAAATGTATTGCGCAAATAAATCATATTTTTGTGATGAAAGCTTTCTTCTGATAAGGCTATCACAAAAATGGAATTTATGAGTGTATATATGATCACTTTTACGGTTGCATTGCTTCTGATTAATGTCGTTTGCTTTTTTTAATTTGAACGAAGTACTTTTGTGCAAATCCATGTTCTGGATCTTTAGTTTTATTCAGAGTACGAACCTAAGTTATTCAACAGATGACCCTAGATCGGAATCCATAATTTAAATGGTTATAACCACCTCTTCTACTTGTATAACTGAAGGGATAGGGTACTGAATGGAAACTAAGGTTGGCATATGGCACAAAAATTAGGTCCTATTCAAGTCACGTACTGGCTTTAGCTACGTTACCGAATTAATCCAGAGTGTTGTCTTATCTGAGGGTAGATGAGGAATGTTATTAGTGTTTGATAACTAAGTCCTCGTTATGCCATGAGCAATATAAAGTGCTTAGGTAAGGTTTGAGAGATCGTTCTGTCACGTCAGTTGAACGTGATGATAAATTTCGCTACATATTTTAGGATAAATTGTACCTATTCCTGTGAATTTCTACTTGTAAATTAATACAACAAGCTTTTACTTCCTTTGAATTGAAGTAGAATATGTTTAACGTTAGAATGAAGAGAAATCAACTGCTCGCTTTGTGCACATCCTTGTTCCTGATTCCATACCAGAAAATACTATTCCTACTTTTGCTAATCTAGTGCAATCCAGAAACTAGATATCAGTTAGGCACACCTACCTTATTAGAGATGTGAGACTGGCTTGTTATGCAGTCGTCGTTTTATATGCAGACCGAATAATCAACATGAGACTATGCATCACATTTCATAAAGGTACAGGGGCAGACAAGAGGAATGTAACAAAACCAAGATAGACGGAAGGAAGGACAATCAGATGAAAATTAGTGAGGATATTTGGAATGTCACTATACCATTGTGCTTTGTTATGAGTCATGTTGCCTACTACCTCCTAACATGAATTCCTAGCATCCCGGAGACCCGAGGTACGCAATCTACACCAGTTTATGTGATTTAAATCGACTTCATGGAATGGTTGTATGTTTTGATTCGACCACAATTAACACCTTTCCTGGCTTGTCTTATTTTAGGTAACATAGTTTGTTGATAATGGCAGTGGCTTTATGTGCGTGTCACATTCCCTAGCCATCTCAATCAACAGAACTTCTCAATCCCCTAATTGACCTCACATCCTTAATTAACGCTAGGCGCTTCATTGAATCACAGGACATAAGAAATTGGACGCATATACTTAAGACTAAGCATGGTTAGTTTCCTGGTATCTTCCATTTTGAATTGTAGTGTCATCTAGACGTATTGTAGAACAAAGTAAACTACTGCGATGGAACTAAGTCCTCAGACCTATAACTGGATATTATGCTAGTGAAGATAACACAACTTGCTGAGTGTAACTTTCTTTCTCATATTGGAGATCAAGTCAACAACCAACCTGTCAGCACCGGCGCAATTTCCTAAATAGGTCAGCTCGTTCATCTCTTATCCGTAAAATGGGACCCTACAATATCACCTTAAGTTTGACGGGCGAATCGCATTTTAAACATTCGGACTCTTGCTCAAGGTGTTTAGAAGGCCCTACATTTTGTTGTGTATTCACTACAGAGGATGATGTCATGTGTGTAATATGCAGGCGAAAAAGGAGATGAGTTGGACACACCCTGAACAGACATTCGAATCCACACTCCAGACCGTCGAGGCGAAGTCGAGTTGGACACCTGAGGGTGACATGGAGAAAACTATGTGAAGTGAAAATTGGGGCTAACAGGAATTCCTTAATGGAGTTAGAAATCATAGTGGAGAACAGAGTGAAACGGATGTGTGCTTCTGCATCCTGTTAGGATAGAGAATAACTAATGGTAATATAATAAATGCTGATTGTCACCATCTTATCTCATTCTTTATGTGAAAAGTAGACACTGGTTGACCAGCTAGACCTGATAAAACAGAGTTTTCTGTCCTAGAGTTCAACACTAACATGACCACGAGGAAAGCAAATAGATTTCATGACACCCATAGGTTGGTCCATAATGTTAACGCAATGATGGCTTAAGTGATGTCCCATACTTGGGTCTTTCCTACATGTCTCAGAAACAAAACATACATCCAAAGGTCTGGCAGAAATGTACGGTTTTTCTCTAGTTTAATGTACATGATTAAGGCCCAGTAGTTTTTTCATCTTACATACCCGTTTCGTGAGGAAAGTGCCATCCTGAAGGTGTCGATGTCCCTGCAATTGATTTGCTGAGAATTATTCCTTGCAGTAAATAGGAACTAACGGTAAGCACGGCTATCTTACGTACTGTGTGCGCTTATCTTCTGAAACTGCACACCAAATAATTAGCTGAGAATCCAAGATTTCTGAAACTTATTTATTGATTCCCGAGATATATTTTCTGATTACTTTGACATACGATGGTTTTGTAAGAGGTATTACGGCTTAGGGTAGACCTCAATTCTAAACACTCTTACAAAACTTTTCACCGTTTTATGACCTTAGCTGTACTCTGCTTAACGTGCAAATACTGACGAACAGAATCAAGGTAAAAGACTTGAAATGACAAGCGTATCTGGGACAGTTATATTTTACACAAACGAAATATGAAATTTGATAAAGAAAGAGGTTGTACAACTTATCTGCTGACGTCACTGGTGGGAGCCTCGAAGAGTGTGCTGAATGAATGCACAACGAGAGAGCGAACCAACGAACGTACGGAAGAGTTACAACTCAAAAGATCAAGATGTGCCAAACGATAGGTGAGCGAGTTTAAACAAAAGTTCAAGGGTACAGTGTGCACTACGGGTTATCCCCACCCCTTAGAAGGTTGGTGGGAAACCAGCAAGCTTCGACATACAAAAGTAGGACGGCTTTGTACAATGGCAATGAGTGAACGGGAAGGTTTGAAGATAGTAACAGTAAAAAAAATTTTGCGAAAGGAGAGAAAGCAAACGAAAAAAAAGTTAAGGCAATTTGGAAACAGCATGTACATGAGTAGTGAAGTAAGACGGAATATAAGAGGAAATGACGCTGGTGCCTTGTGTGGTTGCAAACTTCTGCTGTTTGGTTTTTTTATCTTTCTTTATCTTTTATTTTTTTATTCATTTTTTTTGTTTTTAGTATTTTTTTTATTGTATTTTTATTCATCGATTCATTTATCATTTTTTTTAGACTCCGTACTATTACGAGCTTACTTATGTGGAGGTCTGATGGTATACCTCCGCCGCCCAGGCTGTCGTAGCAGGAAGGTGACTCATTGTCTAATTTTCATTTTAGACTAATGCTCCCTTCCTCCGCTTCAACAGAACCTAGCAGCAATTTTAAAGGCAATAATTATACCAGCGTATGAGAAGGAACAGGGTGAAAGCAACAGAAGAGGATGGGAGAAGAGGTTAAAATTTCAAAATCGGCGTAAAGGTACTTACAAAAGCTTGTGCGGAATAATTGCGAGGAAAACTGGTGTAACATGGAAGTAATACGTCAGACTGAAATAAAACAAAGGAAGTTGCTAACCTGTGAAAATTTATAAAATTACAGGGAAGTGTGTGACATAACCAATAGCTATGAGTAATTACTTCTTCAAGAAGTAGTGTCAGCAAATCCTTTAGTGGCACAATACAATGTCTTCAAACAGCATCCAATTCAGTGGACAATGATACATCAAAAATTTCTAACAAACTGGAGGTTAATAAATGTCAGGCTGCCAACTCGCTTTCCTCTCAAAGGTAATAATCATCTCTTCATAGTTTTGCTTCAACTTTTTTTAAAAGAAAGAAGTTAAAACAAAACTATGAAGCGATGATTATTACCTTTGAGAGGAAAGCGAGTTGACAGCCTGACATTTATTAACCTCCAGTTTGTTAGAAATTTTTGATGTATCATTGTCCACTGAATTGGATGCTGTTTGAAGACATTGTATTGTGCCATTAAAGGATTTGCTGACACTACTTCTTGAAGAAGAAGAAGAAGAAGAGACATCATTCATGTCAGGCGATAAAGTGACTGAATGCTTTCGACTTGATGACAGAGTAACTGAAGGTTTCGATTTTGGCGATATCTGACAGCCTATAGATCGTTGTGTACACGGTGAACAAGGTGTACACTTTGACAGATGAGCAGACAACTGTTCTTCAAGTGCAGTGATCTTTCCCAACTGAAGTAAAAACGAAAACAAAAATGTCGATATTACTAATGATAATAATAATGATAATAGCGAAGACGATAGTTGTATCAGACAGAGGAATAGGTATATCCTGCAACTGTAGGGAGGACTTTCGTCTACAAGTATGAAGTTCGGCGTCATTTTCCTGCAACTTGGCTATATTGTCTAAGCTAATGTCTATCGAAGATATAAGCTGATTAACATCACATCGAGACAAAGAATCGACTATGACATTGGTATCTCCTTTGATAAACTGGATGTCTGAGAATTGTGATATGTAATCCAGTTGCCTGGCTTCTCTCGGAGTGTCTGTCCAACGAAGTGGTAAAAGCATAACAAAGAGGCTTATGGTCGGTTAAGATAGTAAAATGTCGACCTTGTACTAAGAAGCTGATATGTTTCACTACTAGATAGATAGCTAACAGTTCTCTGCTAAAAGTGCTGTAACGAGTTTGCGCAGGTTCCAACTTCTTGGAGAAGAAAGCAAGTGGAGGGATGTTATTGTTGATCTTCTGTTGTAAAACTGCTCCCACAGCTACCTGCGATTCGTCTGTACATAGGATGAGTGAGGCTTCTGGGTTGATGTGAGACAACATTACAACGTTGGATAAAGCATCTTTTGCATTATTAAATGCTACTTTTGCTTCTTCAGACCACTGAAATTTCTTCGGATCGCATCTAAGTAGGTCGGTCAGTGACTGAGCTATGGAGGCACACGATGGAATAAAACGTCGATAGGAACTGAACATCCCGAGAAAACGTCCAAGTTTCTTTACGGAATCCGGTTCGGGAAAGTTCTGAATAGTTTCTACCTTTCTCTCCTTAGTTCTAATACCATTGGCGGTTATGCGGTGTCCCAGAAACTGTATAGAGGAGACACCGAATATGCACTTTTTGGGGTTAATGACAAATCCATATCGGTCAAATCACTGAAATTAGATGGTGAGCTGATCACTTTGTTCTTCAGGCGATGAGCTAGCAATTAAAACGTCACCAATGTATACAAATACAAAGTCCAAACCTTGTGTGACCTGATCCATGAAGCGTTGGAAGGATTGTGAGGCGTTCTTTAGACCAAATGGCACGCGCAGAGATTCGAACAAACCGAAAGGTGTGATGATGGCCGTTTTTTCGATATCTTCTGTGGCAACTGGTATTTGGTGATAGGCGTTGATCAAGTCTACTTTAGAAAAAATGGTTTTTCCGTGTAATGTCAGGGAGAAATCATGAAGGTGGAGAATCGGGTAACGGTCCGGAACTGTGACATTGTTTAAATGTCGTTAATCCCCACATGGCATTCAATCATGATCAGCTTTGGGCACCATGTGTAAGGGTGAAGACCAAGGACTATTGGAGGGTCTAATGATGCCGAGCTGCATCATGTGCTTGAATTCTGCCTTAGCGGCTGCTATTTTGTCCGGGGTAATCTACGAGGACGAGCAAGAACCGGTTGACCCGTGGTAACAACCTTGTGAGTGACTGTATGAGGGACGTCCTCGATGTTACACGACGGTTTAAGTATTTTAGGGAAACGATGGAGTAGGGCGGAAAAAATGTAATCCGCTGGTCTTTCGATGTTGATATTATAGACAGAATAATCGGAGATAATTCCATGGATCTTTAGTTGGGCGTTGTTATCAATCAGTTTTTTATTGTTGACATCAACTGACAGATTGAAATTACTTAAGAAATCAGCCCCGAGTATGGCATGACCGATGTCGGCTACTATGAAATTCCATGTAAAACGTCGATGTAAACCTAGTTCCACCATAAGAGATTGTTCCCCATACGTCTGTATGCTTCTGTGGTTGGCTGACCCAAGGGACAGTTTTCCTGATGTCCGTGTAGATCGCCTGGATAGTGAAGAGGGGATCACGCTAACTTCTGCTCCAGGAATAGTGTCTGAAGTTTTGTCCTTCACATAGAAAAGGTGACTTGTTTGCTTGCCAGTAACAGCTGTCGCCATCACTGCCTGGCTGAGACGTTTCCCTGAGCCTGATTAGCTTCTTTAAAGATGCATAGTTTTACACATTTCAGGGCATGACGTCCAAACTTCTTGTGATACCGACATATATTTCTGTCCCGAGAAGACGTGTGGGAACGCTGTCGTGAGAGAGATCGGTGTCGTGATGGTGACCTTGCTTGTGAACTCCGTCTCCGGACTCGTCGATCAGACCTATTAGTTTCCAACTTGTCAATCCTTGCCGCTAAGTCTGCAATAGCGGCGAGTATCGGTGTGTCTGCCGTGGGTGTGGAATGACACGGTGTGGCACTATCAGATGCTTTGTGACCTATGGTGTTATCAGATAGAACATCCATAATACTATCTGCCATGTCATTTAGTGGGTCTAAGTCATACGACTTTCCTGAGATGATTAAAATTTGCTGGACATTTTAAGGTGAACGATGCAACCACATCTGTTTCAGCACTACCTCGTCTACTTTATGGTGTCCGATTAACTGGCGCATGTACCTGAGGAGCTGGGATGGTTTACGTGGGCCTAGATCACAGCCCGTGAGTAATTGTTGAATTTTTTCTCATCTGACAAACTGGTGCGTTGTATAAGGAGGGCTTTAAGTTTTTCAAATTGGTTTTCCGTCGGGGGGTTTTCGATGAAGTCGCTGATTTCTGTCAATACTAACGGAGGGAGTTCTGCCAGCACTACACCATATTTGGCTATCTTTTTTTCATTTTTGATTGCAGCTTGATTCCACACTGTATTTTTGGTACAAGTATGAAATTTTCAGCATGGATATCGGTAGCCCAAATTTTGCAGGCCGACCATAGATATCAGGTGTGCGTCGGCAGGGGATCAAACCTCGGACCATGTGCACGGTCGGCGAGAGACCTAACCACTGTGCCACCGACGCCCCGTGCTTCTAGCAACGGCTCAATTGCTGCAAACCAAATCCTGGGTTCTGCGAAACCGTACTGCGGTAAACAGAAATCAGTGATGGCATTTATTGTGGCATTTGTCGCGTTACTAGTTGTCTGCTCGGTTGAGGTACCAGACTGACGTGACGATATTATAGATATGAGAATGTTAGTGCAAAATAGGACACAAATATAAGACCACACACAAAATCACAATGAATATACAAAATGGTTAAAATAAATATATAGGTACGTGAAAATAATCCGTGTCCTAAACGGGATCACTAATTTTGTGGTGGACCTTAGAGTCTGTTATAACAGACTAAGCTATAGCTTAGTATCCCAAATTTAAATAGGAAATAAAATTCCAAATCAGTTAAGTTACTGGTAGAATATAATAAAGTTTTGTTACCTGTGTATTTACAAGGTCAAAAATCCACAATTAACGTAATAGACTCCAGAGGTATTGCGAAGAGACCGCTCCAATAGTAATTCTCCAATGTTGATGTTACCAGGGGTAGACCAAAGTACGTAGGAAAAAACTACGGTGCTCCTGCAAAATTTGAGATAGAAAGCAGGTGGTTAGAATTGGTCGATGGCAGTTGAGATGGTGGAGAAGACAGAGAGACGAAAGCAAGACTATATTTCCATTCAAAACTTGATGTAAAGCCCAAACTACAGAGGTTATGATTAAAACAAAGTAATGTACAATTTGTTCATTTCTTACATAGTAGTGAAAATTGAATATGTTTATTTTTGAGGACTCCACATATATATAGAAACAACAACAAACCAAAAAGAAACACAAAATAACAAAAAATGAAAATGAAAATACCAAGTAGAAAGGAAGATAAACACTAACAATGAAAAATATTTCGGTATTTGGTGGTGGAAGCTAGGAATGTGTATGCGTGGTGAACAGCAACAGCTATAATCACACAAGAAGTTATGAAATGTTCTTAAGAATGTTTGTAGCCAGGATGATCAGTTAATTTGATTGAACTACACTTAACAAGTTGGTCGTCCAAGAGTGACTTGGAGGAGGTCATGCGAGGAGGAGATGAAAGCATGTGGACAGACCTGGAGCAGGTTGAAAAAGTTGTCAGAAAACCGAAGTCAATGGAGGTGCGCAGCTGAAGCCCTATGTTCCTCTAGGAACTAAAGGATACAATAATAATAATAAATAATACACTTAACAATCATAAAATGAACATTTCAGGCTTTTTTATAGTCAGCACTAATGCAGTGTTTGTTGTGGTAGTGTGAATAATCATGCATAATACAAAGTTTTAGGATGGTGATAAGGGCGTTCACAAACACGATTGTCAGTTTCAATATTGCCGAACAAAAAATCAATCACAAAAACTAATATCACATGAAGGCTGTTGGCAGGATAATTTTGTAATACTCATAGTGCTAATATAGTCGAGACCAGTAGATACACAAAAGAAGGAATAGAATACAGAATAAAAACGTAAGCCAATGATAATAATTTTAGGTAGCTAAGTATGTTTAAGAAGGGTGTTCACCATAGAATACAAATGGGAGAGAATATGGGAGAAATAAAAGGGCCAAAATTATTTTATTAACAACAAAGCAGGTCATAGGTTTCGCGCTTAACATTGTCTCTGTCACTTAGAACGCGGGCTAGCCAAATATGGTATCGTTGGGTTCCTATGCTTGGTTGTACGAGCATATATTATTTTATACTGATTTCTGGTTCTGCCTGACGAGATGAAAGGAGAGAGATGGGAATAGATGGGGTGTTGAGGGGGCGGAGAGTATGGTTTCAGACCATTTTTCGCATGTATTCAGATGCTTATTTATTAATGTAGTGACGAGCTGACCGAGTTTTACACCACTACACCTACTAACTACCTTCAACATCCTTCTCAGGATGGTATAGTCCTTCTTCAGTAACCCAGGAAAGACTAATGGGGAGCAGTAAAGTAGAATAGGTAAGGTACGAGAGTTGACAAATTGTGAAAGCAGAGGTTGAGTGACTCCAGTTAGTCTGACTTTCTTAATGTAGTAGGTTAGACGAAACACTTTCTTGGAAATCATTTGGATATGGGATGACCATGTAAGGTCGGAAGATAGGACTAATCCAAGGTATTTTGCATTAGACTTAGTTTCACTTTTAGTCCTCTCAATGCTACAGGCTTCATGAGCGCTTACTAGTGTTCGTAGACCTCGTTTGTGCCTAAAGGAGAAGTCAATAGTCTGGCATTTTGAGGGATTCAGCATGAGGCCATTTAGTTTAGAC